TTCCTAATATTCAATGTATGTTAAACTTTTTTTTTAACACCTATGAAACTACTTTAAATCATGATTCAAATGCAGACAGTGGCAGAGTCACACACCGTCTTTTATTGTGCTTTGGAAAGTGAAAAACAGTGAGCCTGCCAAACAGGGGAGGATGGTCATTCTTATTTTAAAATCATTAATAGAGGCCATAAATCTGCTGTGGAGCAGCTCCAGGGATGGGCGTAAAAGCAAACAGAGCCCTCTCCCACCAAAAACACAGCAGGCAATCTTCCTGATGCTATGCAAGGTCATTAACTGTGAACCGTGCACAAAAGCTGAGTGGTCAACACAGGCAAAGACAACATGATAAATCACAGCAAGCAAACGCACTCACACAAACAAGACTGGACATCACGTGACCTCCTCTAAAGTGTCATTGTGGAGGACAAAAAGGAGAGAATGTAGAGGTAAGACAGAGATAGACAGAGACAGACAGACAAAGATAAGAGGGAAAGACGGGGGAATGTAGACAAAGCTAATCTGGTTGAAATACACCTTTTGTTTATGGATGAGTATCTGTGGAAGTGTGTATGTCTGTCTGTCTGTGTGTGTGTGTGTGTGTGTGTGTGTGTGCGTGTGTGTATATAATCACAGCTTTGACTACAGCTCTTTTGAAGCTCTTGTGGGGATATGATGATGAAAAAAAACAAAAAAACCAGGGGATAAACTTTTCCATCTCCGCTGTGCACCACATCATTCTTGCTAAGTGACTTCAAACCAGGATTAAGCACGTGCATGCAACCTACCATCTGCTCATGCTCAGTTGCGTACCGGTGCTGATTGCCAGCTCATTAGACAACATCAGCGCCATATCAAAGTTTAATGTGTCATTCATTGCAAAATATTAACAGAAGTGGGTATGTGAAAGGCTGACAAGCTCAAATCCCCTTTTCTGAGTTCAGTGTATACTAAACAGTCTTCCTCACACAAACCAACCTGAACGTGCCTTTTATTTAAACTGACTACTGCTTAACTGGTACCCCATGGATGTTCTGCTGAGTTAAGCCCAGTGAAACCACATGGATGTACCCTGGCTGTGAACAAACTCCAGCTTTACACCTGTGACTGTAGCCAGTTTTACACAGAGATCCCACTATATTGATGTTGAGAAGACCCCTCATTATGCCAGCTTTGCTTGTTTACACTGAACCAAACAAGTCGGCATAATGCTGCCCCAAGGTGTGATTTAGACAGCTTGCAGGCATCCCATAATCAGAGACATGAAGCGCAACACAACAGTGCCGGCATCTGTCCCGCCATGCTGGCTCTGCCGCCCCCCTGCCCCCCCTACATGAGTTAGTACCTTTTATGCAGAACGGCTAGGTGCAACATTCCCACTTTGAACAGTCTGTGCGAGTCACATTGTGCCTGCTTGTTTGTATGTGGATTACAGCCTGTGACTTGTGGTGAGAGGTCGGTTTAAAGACAGAAAGGAAACTCTTTTCCACAGAATTCAAAGGTGTGACAAACAAACACACACATTAGATTGCAAGCTTCAACGTGTCCACAGGAATGCCACTCATTCCATCTCAGTGCTCAACTCCATCACTGTCACACAGACACACACACACACGCGCGCTTTCACAAACACACAGAGGGGAATGAATCACCCCAATAATTGTGGCCCAACCATTCCACAGCCCACTCCCTAGAGGCCTAAATGACAAGGGGGCAAACATGGACTTGCTCTCCCAAAGCAGCCACTATCAACCTGTCACTCACTGCTATATGAGCTAAGATTTCCAGTGTTGCATAACGCCAGAATCCTGCAACTGGTGGCCGTATGTGTGTGTTCTTAAATGTATAGTACAAATAATGTGTGCATCTGTATGTCCATTTGTAGTTTTATGACTGCACACTTTTTTGGTCAGCGAATGTATTCTTATAAGTATTCTTGGCTTCATGCATTCAAGAATGCACATGCGCGTGTACTTGCGGAAAAAGGAGACTAAAACTAAGTGCCCCAGGACAGTTGCAAAAAGAAAAAAAAAGGGTTCCCTGGCTTTTATCTCCTTGTGGCTAAATGGATCTTTTTCTGGCCTAATACCATAATAATTACACATGGCTGCAGGGGGTGCACTTTTGATGCTGCGCTGGCAGGGGGACAGAAATTAAAAGTGAGGAAATGACTGTGGGAATTAAGGCAGCGATAGACAAAGAGGCTGACGCCGCGTGTTAGTGGTGAACACCTTGAACTCAACTGATGCTTGTCACATTGATTCTTTCCACCGGTTTCTGAACACTTTGGAGCCTCTACAGTTTAGCTCAAACTCATCTAACCATCTGACTCTCATCTTGTCTCTTTACCTTAATGTCACTTTGTTCTTTTTATCCCCAAAACAAAACTCATTGTTACTTTGAAGTTATTGCTTTTTACAAAAGACTGGGTGGACATATTCTTTTCAAATACATTAAGTTTTCTTCACCACTACCTTAGAAACTGTGTTTCTAATTGCAGATAGACTGCGCCATCACAATTTGCAGACTTCTGAAATGAAGTTATAATACAGCATGTTTCCACGGTCAATGCAGCTGCGATGGAAAAGGTAATGGCATGTCAGGAGCGCAGAACAGGAGCCACTGACCAACATTTCTGTGCGAGTGGGTCAAAGGGTAAGCGCAGTCCTGGGCACAGGCATGCCGAGCACCTTAGGGTGTCCTGGGTTGCCATGCATCACATATCTGTGTGTCACAACTATGTACATAAATACAGCCATACATGCTCACAAATATAAAGACACACTTAGTGTGGCCAGGTGGGGGCACATCTGGGTGTTACATGTCCCATGGTTTTTTTATTTTAGTGTACGTCTGTGCTCAACACTGACATAGTTGGAAGTTGCAAGTGTGTGACCAGTAATTGTGAAAATGTGGGTCTGTGTGACAGAATCCCACTGAGACCCAACAAGAGCTGCTATTATTAGACAAAACTATGCTAGAGAGAGAGAGAGGGAGAGAACGAGAGAGTGAGTTCAGAAAAAAGAACAGATTTGGCAAAGTTTTTCTATGACAAGACCAATGTTACACCAAAGTGAAAAGATTACTTTCCTTGCCTCAGAGTGTGTGTATGTGTGTGTGTGTGTGTGTGTGGGGGGGGGGGGGGGGTCAGCACCTGGAACCAAGCCTTTAAATCAATGTACCACAGCTGTACAGAGGGCTGTGTGATCAAGACTGCATCCATCAATTACAGGGAACTTTTTAGTAGGCACCTGTTAAAAGGCTCCATGAAGGGCAGACAGACAGCAAAGTACAACAACTGTCTCTGATACCAGGGTGGAGGGAGGGGGCAATCGTAAATCTGATCTGGGGAGCGAAGAGGTGTATAAAAGAAGAAAGTGGTATGAGAAAGGAAGAAAAGCTAAACCAGGTAAACTCTGAGGGAAGCTGTGTTTTCGGTGAAAAACAAACTTGCTATTCAATGAGGGGCTCCATAAGTAATGAGAAACTACTATGATGCAGTGAGGACAGGACAGTCAGAGAGAGCAGAAGAGATGGAGAGTATAGAGAGAGGCCAGCCAGCACCCCAGCCCCGCCCTTTACTTCATCCTGCTTCAAACCACCAAAGGCTGCCTGTACAGGCAAGGAATTAGAAATAATGTTCATGAAAACTCTGCTATGCATTCCCGCAAATTTGATTTTGACACACACAAATGGCCACAAAGGAGTCACTGAGGGCTACACTATGTAAAACACAAATATTAACAACAAGTTAACCTCTTATACATCTTTTAAGGATATTAAGCAATGAAACGTTACAGTCATGCTAAAAGAGAATAAACAAACGCAGTAAAGTAGGCTACAGCATAATCTCAATGGCAGCACATTAAATCATATGGGACTGTTAAGCATTGGACATAAACATCAAGTACACTGAGGTCAATAATAAACGTGTAGGTCTACCACAAGTACCACAGCAACTACTTAAAATTAATCTACACTTGGTTTTGGTCAGTAACCACAAGCTTCTCTTCATAGATCATATAAGGCCAAAGTCAAGTTGCATTTAAATTGGCTTAGTGTGTCTGGCAGCAGTAGAGGTGCTGAGGGTGAGGCGCACTGCCAAATAAGAGACGCAAATCCCGCAGATCAGACATCAAAGCGCTGGAAACTGCACCACAGCAGCCAGACATGGCAGATTGAATGAGACTGGATGAGACCGGCAACCTGGTCTTCAAAATAAAAGCTTATTATTTATCACCGTTCAGGTAAAATATAATAAATAAATAAATGGGCTGGCCCAAATATTTGGAAGACTTATTTCGTAGATTTCTCATTAAAATGACACATTATCTAAATATAAACATTATGTTTTTCATTTCAATCGGTGTTTTACTTTGGCAGTTCAATATGTTTTATTACGGCCGTATGGAAGAGGCGCTGTTTGGTATTAGGCTATGTTGGTTTGGCAGCGGTGTCCAGAGGACAGGAGCAGTGTGCCGCAGTCCTGGGCGCTGTTAAGAAGTGCACTCAAGTGCGGAGCTGAGACTTACCGCACTAGCCTACAAAGAGTCACCATTAACCCTTTAAACATCCCCGCAGTGTAGAAAACCCGCACGTCGTAACTGCGCAAACTAACGGCTACCGTAAAACAATGTTTGTTTTATAAATCAGTTAGACCTCTGTTGAAACAAATAGACTTTCTGAAACGTCGATTATGGGAAAAATGTTATCGGCGTGTTCCGGTGGATCCGTGCCGCCGCTAACAGGTTGCTCTACATCATCCAACAATTTCGAGCAAACATAGCCAAACTATAAAGTGTTAGTCTGGACTCAATGAGCCGTTTCTGGCTGCGACATGGACAGACAGGTTTGTCCTGGACTCGTGGTCCGCGAGAGAGGAAAGTATAAATGTGCAGCCTAGAGCCATGAAAAACTCACCAGAACCGTGACAAAAGCACGACAAAGTTAGTAGAAAGAGGCATACTGTAATAAATGAAGCGGGAAGTATCAAAGAGACCTACCTATCAATGCCCAGAGCAAGGTGCACAGGAGCGACGTGCGTCCAAACGTTATCCCGTCCATGGCCGGTTTTCTAACTTTTTTCAGAGAAAAGTATTCACTTTGTTTTTGGTTGTAGAGAGTGGAAATCTGGCTGCAGTTAGTCTTCTTTCTTCTTTCACTGCTCCAAAGCCTTCTGGACCTCTCTGTCTCTCTCTCCCTCTCTCTCTCTCTGCTAAAGGAGTGCCTCACTCCCTCACACACACATACACTCAGAAATCTGATGCTGGTGGCAGTCCTCTTGGTTGATATATTTGCACAAAAGGTGACCCCCCACCCCCACCCCTCCTCCTAACACAACCCCCTCCCCTCTCCGTCTCTCCCTCTCTCTCTCTACCTCACTTGCAGTGAAAAGACTTGCTTGACTAATTCGCAGAGCAGGTCTCCCGGGGCCTGCAGGATTTCTTTAAAGAAACTTAAAAGTGATTTTATCATGAAGCTCTCTGGCTCATTGTAACTCGATAGACAAAATAATTTAAGTTTTATCAGGATAATATAAGAATTTCACAGCAAAACTAGACATGAAAGCTGTAAGCTCACATTAATATACTAGTAGCCTATGTTATAGTAGCTAGGCCTATCTACAATAGTCCAGAATATTAAAATTATTTTTGGACTTGTTTGGAGTCAACATGGCACACTTAACAGCTTTTAAATTTAATTTCTTTAATTGCTTGGAAATTATGGAGGTAATGGCACAGTTTCAGAAAAAAACATCATATTAGGCTTAATAAAATAGGCTGCAGAATAATTAGCATTTGATTAAGTGCAAATTGCAAAAGACACAATTTTGCAACTGTAGATAAGGGAAATTATTTTCACCCATTATAGCTAAATGCTGGTAAATGAATATGACAGGTTACTGATCATTATTCAGAGGTCTTGATTGCCCAAAAAATAATTGGTTGGGAAAACAATCAGCTTTCTTTTGCTAGTTTATTTTGTAGACAAATTTCCGGCACTGGTTAGACCTTTAACATCCCAAACTTACACATGTCTCAAATAATGATTTTCATTTTCAAAGCAACCTGAGGCCATTTCTTGGGTTAAGCTGTCTGTCAATGACAGACATACCATTCATTCCTAGACATGTAATCCCTTCAGAATCTGTTTGGGTATTTGCAGGGTATGGAACAACCTATTTGGGTATATACAGTTCAGATATACGGTTATCATGAGAGGCTAAGTGGCTTATTCACTATACTATAATACCAGTCTGAATGCTTGGAGTGGGTATTGTGTGACCTCTGAGGTTGATTTAGGCCAAATCCCATAAGCTAGGACTTGGAAAGCATAAACACCTGTCAGTCCTGTATAAGATGACTTCATGGTACCATTGACCACTGAAGTGCTCAAGAGGAACATCTATCTTCTTGCAGTTTCTTTCTATTGGAACTAAATAATCGGCACACCCTGCAGGTAATAATAGCCCCTTGCAGAGCAGTTGTATTCAAAGACACGCATTCCAAACATAGTTGGTCTAAAACAGCTGGTTAATTATTTTCTCAGCCCTGTTTGAAGAGGAGAAATGATACTTACAACCTGCTCCACTGCAGTATAAAGAAGAGACACCCCTCTGGATGGGATCTGGTAGTTGGAATACACACACACACACACACACACACACACAGCTGTTGTTCACATAAAGGAGTCACTGACAGCAGTGTGTAGGTTACTGAGTTTAATGGGACTGAGGCAGTTAGTTTACTCTCATGAACTCTGTTTCTCTCTGTCTATTCCCAGCTATGACAGCAGGAGGGGAAGAAAAGCCTTCCCACTGACTATCCAACATCAATACAGCCACTTATCCCTGGTATCGAACCAGTCATAATCATCTCTCCATGCTGTAGAGACATGAGATCCACTAACAAGTCCTCTGTCCTGTGGTGAAGGACTTAGGGCGATGTAACCCTCACACTGCCTTACATAAGACCTATATCATGCTGCATAGCTGTAGCTAATGCTGATGTAGCCCAGCACGGGGGCTTACGTAAGGCCTTTAGTCATACAAAGAGTAGCTGTGGCTCTGATTTACAGTATTGGCTCATTACCTAATGGAGCTGCAGGACAGGACAGGAGAGGAGAGGAGAGGAGAGGAGAGGAGAGGAGAGGGAAAATAAGGATGGACGAGGACAAAGAAGGACACAGAAGGGGATGGTGTAAGTAATAGGCAAGGAGAAGGAAAGGGAACACATGAAGAGAGGGAAATGAGAGTGATAATAGTCGGGAAAAATAGTCAAGAAGGAGCGAAGAAGAAAAAGAGAGTGAAGGCATCTCTTGACACAAACTCTAAAATATTTGCAGAGGTCAGTCTTGGTGACAAATGTCTGCTCATCGTCTCAGAGTCCAGCATATTCAGTTACCACAGGTGAGCAAAGGTGAGCTTGAACATCATGAGGAGCTAGTTTTGTACCTGACGGGTAACAGCAGTGCCAGACAAGGGATGCTTTAAAATGACAGGGTAGTCATCCTCCTTCAGACACATTGTGTTTGGTGTACTTTGACATAATCCATCGAGTGCAGAGCTGTATTTAAATGCTATTCACATTGTGTAAACAAGCAGAATTATACTGTTCTCATATTATGGTGTATATTATGCAAATTGCTAAATAACACCAACAAGCCATTTTCTTTATGAATAGGCCGTTGTTGAACTTACAATTTTTTTATAGGCACAAAACCATAAACATTTGTATTTGCTTTGCTGCTTGTTTGGAGATTTGGGTGTGTTGTCATGCTAGCGGTGGCTAATGTAGCCCTGAGCGACTAACCTCAAGCAGGGATGAGGAGCAGGCTACAGAGGTCTGAAAAACCCTAGATCTTCTCGTTATTAAATTCATAGTCTTCAGATCCAGCCAACATTGACTCACATGACTTCACTTGAAGCAATTTATCTTTTTACACGGCTCCCTCCAGAGCCACAACAAGACTTAGACAACTTTTTTTCTCACACATGCAGTAGTACTCCCCGAGACCTATAAACAGTCTTTGATGTTATAAACCAGTGGAGTTCCCCTTCAAGGGATCACCAGAATTATTACAATTCATCCTGAGGGGGGCATTACTTTATGTACCAAATTTCATGGCAATCCCTCTAATAGATGTTGAGACACTTGACTCAAAACCACAACACCCCACAGTGGCACTAGAGGAAAAGTCATTATGATACGTTGTCTGTGAAAATCTGTACAAGACGTTGCACCCATCCATCACCAGATAAGTGAAAACTTTGATCTGCTGGTGGCGCTTGAGGGAAACTCAGGAGATCACTAAGGTCATTAGGATTCAGAAATTTCAGTAAGGACCAAAGAGGTGGACTGGACAACAGACTGACAGACAGACAGATCAACATCACCATCCCTGGAGCCTTATTTTATCTATATAGACCTTTTAATGGCTGTCAAACCACTCCATGACTGTTTAAATTATATGAAGGTCACAACATGCGAGCAAAACCTGTCTGCTGTAGCACCGAGACTTGTCAGCATTTTTAGACTTCAAGAGAAATAAAACCATGCAGTTATGTGACACTCATTGAAGGTACTTGTAGGCAAATTGTCACACCTTGCAAAACATAAATCAGACAGCCCACTTTATAGTCCCTTGCTTTATGTGATTTACCACCCCCACCCCATGTCAAAAATTAGGCTACCTGACAGGGAGAATATTTGACACATCAGCCTAAAGCAAGGGGATAAAGAGAAACAGAGACACGGAGACACTACAAAGGGAACAGAGATGTGTAATGAAAGAATAATGAAGAGAGCAGATTAGAAGAGGAGGAGGAGGGGAGAACTTTAATTCCAAAGTCAGGGGATGGGTAGCATGTAGCCCCGGGGAATAAAAGCAAAGTATAGGCAGAAAGAAAAAAAAAAGGGGGGGGGGGGGTATAGAAAGTGAGGGAAGCTGTTATCTTGCATGAATTCTCATGTCTGGTCTCGACATGGCAGGAAGACTGAATGAAAGATGGGCTGAAGCTTCACCCCCCCCCCATGATTCTTTGATCTCTTTTGGTCTGTCTTTCTATATGTGCCCTCCATCTCTGTCCATTTTAATCTCTCCATATATCTTTATTACCCCATCTTTCCACTCCCCTCTTACTCTGTCTCCCTCTCTTTCTTGGCCTCTTTCCTCTTGGCTGGACTACAGATGATCGCACAGCTGTTTTCCAGGCATCGATACATAGCGAAGCATGAGTCACAGCGCAGGATTTGTACAGTGATGAAGCTATTCTATGGGGAATTCAACGCTACTTTTCTGTAATCTGGATCACTTACAAACAGTAGCTCCAGTTGGCCGTAATGATCAATAGACCCGACAACAGAGTCACTAAAATGAAGTAATCATTATAACTTATGCTTACATCTTTCTATTTTCTGTTGGTTTTACCTGCCTGAGATGTAATAGATTTAATAGAATGGATATCTCTCAGTGGGCCTAACAACAGTAGTCTGTACAAAACTTTGTGCATTTGTAGTGTTGATTATTACAGGATCAAATGGGGTGCAGCTCTTTGTTTATGTCCCCTGTATAATTTCACTGGGACCCTGTCTTTCAATGCGAGTTTGTGCCTATCCCAGTGGATTCTGTCTGACCGGGGGGCTGGGCACAATACCACCCATTCTGACAGTAACTCTGTGGGAGGGAGATCTGTCATGCTCACTATGGACAGGGCCAGGCGACAGGAAATGGTGGTGAACAATATGGGAGTCACATACCCGGCTCTGTGTCTATAGAGTGGGTCCCTGCATCATAAAGGTCAGATGTGTGGTCAAGTGTTGGCAGCAGTGTTTACAAGAACTAGGTCATACATCAACTGTCATTGATGCACCGCAGTTGTCATGGTTTTTAAGGGGAAATACGGCCCATGATACAACATGCACACGCATTTTCTGGGATATTCCACAGTTGAGTTTTAATTCATGAGTTGGTCTCTGCTTAAACTGAACAGCAGCGAGAGTAATCTACAGTCAAATCCTTGTGCAGCTAGACGGCGAATAGTGAAACCACTCCCACAACACTATGACAAAAGCCACAGATGCTGAGACATTTTCTGATTCACAGCTGTAAGCCTCGCATTCAAATACAATTCATGTAATATCTCAAACAAAAATTATTTGACCCCCCCCAACCCCCCCCCAAATCAGTCACTAATTCCATGTCATAGAGAT